AAGCATATATCAGAAGATAGAAGAAGAAAAGAATGAATAGTATATAGTACATAAGACTACAGACAGTTCAAAAAGGTAATTAAAAAGAAAAAGAAAAAAGTGTTAATTAAACATTGGTAGATGAAATACAAAGAGAATGAAATAGCAACTGAGATCAACAGATATGAAGGATGTATAAGTAAAGAAGAACAGCTAAAAAACAGTTGTCAGCAATGAATAAAATTAAATAAAAACATTTATATAATTCCAGATAGATTAATAAGAAAAGGCAGCAATCAAATTAAAATAGTGATAGACCAAATAATAGACAAAACAAAAATGAGCAGATCAAAAATAATTGAATGCAAGCTAAAGAGTCTTATAATAATAGAAGAACTAGAGATAGAAATTATTAAATAACAAAAATTGAAAAGAAATATTAGCTAAGAAATAATAAAAGTCCTAAAAAGAAACATTATAAAAAACAAGAACAAATATATAATATATATTGACAGTGCAACTAATGGTAGAGATAGTAAAGAGCTAATATCTAAAAATAATATGAGGATAGAATGGGTCCAAACAAATGAAATACAAGAATGACCAAAAGAAGAATTAGCATTTAGACTAGAGAAATAACAAACATCAACAGTAGTAGAGTTGATAACAATTTGGGTAGCAATTCTAATAATATCTAAAAAGAAGCAAATAGAGATATATACAGATAGTAATGCTGCAATAAGAAACATTAGTAGAAGCTTAGAACAAATAGACAGAACCAAGATTATTAAGAAGAAAAATGCAATATGGATAATGAAGATTAAAGACCTTATTAAGACAAAAAACATTTAAATAGATTTAGTTAAAGTTAAAAGTTATAGCAAAAACAAATGGAATGATAGAGCTGATAGTTTAGCAAAGAAGAAAACAATAAGTAGAAAAATAGTATAAGCCGAAAAAGTCAGTTGTAAAGAGATAGAATACTGCCTAGAGTAAGAAAATAGAAGAACTGATATACCAACAAAACTGCTTTGTAAATTAGTAACAAATGCAAGGCTAGAAACAGAGTAAAAAGAAACAAGAGAAGTTAAAAGTTTAGAACCAGATGCAGAAATTACAATTTATAACTGAACTTATTTTTGGAAAAGACTAAAGACATTGAAAGAATTCACTATACAACAAGAAGAAGCAGCTCCAGAAGAAGTGCATTTATTAAGTGTATAATAGATAAACTTTCGATCTTAGAAGAACTCAATAAAAGAAGGCCAGATATATATATAATAGTAGAATGCCAAGTGTGCTGAAATAAAGTAAATGAGATGCAAGCACACTTGGCATCATGCAAAGGACAAAGAAATTTTTGGAAGAGAATTCAAAAAGTAACCATCGCAACAGTATAGAAGAAATTAAAAGAAGAAAAAAAAATTCAGATTCCTTCACATGTGTTATATACAGCACTCTTTGAAAAAACAGAAGCAAAAGAAATTAAAATAAGAGAAGCACTAATAAAAGACCTAATCCTAAAAGAAACACAAGACAAACTAGCAAAACTATTAAACACAAGATCAAAATAGCAGTTTGCAAGTACAGTAGCAATAATGGCCTGAGATACATTCTATGAACAAGTATAGAGAATATGATATGAAAAAATTATTGAATGAGAGAAAAAATTGGAATAACAGATAAAATTAAAAGAAAAAAAGGTGAAAAGCTGAAGGAATCAAGAAAATGAGAAATGGCAAATCAGAAAAAAAAAGAAGAGAAAAAAAAAGAAATAAGAGAAAAAAAAAAGCAAATTGAGAAGAAAGTAATGAAGACAATGTTGGAACTTGTCATAGAAGAGAGAAGACCTTTCTATTATGAACTTTAAGTAGTCAGACAAGCAGCTTACTTCTGTTTAAAGTAATGTAACAGATTGCACTTAGGTACCATTAAGGTGGCTGGGTAATGCTAAACTTAGATGTTAGAGATATTTATATAGTTACAAATGTAATTCCAAAAACCTAATAAAGTACTAACATAACTGCTTATAAAAAAAAAAAAAAAAAAAATTTAAAACACATAAATGAAAGAAAAAATTAAAACAAAATATAGAATAATAAAAGATTTAATATAAGAAAAAATAGTAAAACTGTTATAAGACATAAAATGATTATTTAAAAAAATAAAAAAATTTATTATTGTAATGATTAACATTATATGAAATTACTTTTATAAAAATATAATATGAAATCTTTATTATATAAAAAATGAATAAGAAAATTAAAAAAAAAATGTAAAATATAAAAAAAAACCAACAGAAAGAAAAAATTCAAAAAAACATAGTTTAACTCAATAACAAATTTTATATTAGTAAAATAAGATTATTTACATATGATCTTTTTGATTAGTCTAATACAATTCTGAATTTAAGCACATCTTTAACCAGTATAGCAGACTATCTCTGAACATTTATAGAAGTAACCAGAAGATGTTGAATCAAAAAATTTAATTTAAAAATATATGTAACTTATGTACAAAAATCTTAATAAAAGTTTATGACAGACTGTCAAAGTTAAAAAAAAATCAATTCTTTATAACATTTTTTATATATTTTATAACCATTAGAACAAATAATAACAAAATATTAAGTATTGCAAAGAATTGTAAAAACCTATACAGCTAGCACAAATTAGAATACAAAATCAGTATGTACATATTTGTTACAAATTGGCCTATACGCCTACGCAAGATTTTAGATAAGTTTAACTATAATCAAACATTTAAATATTATGCAAGTGAATTGGAGTCATTAAATAAATATAATAGAATGTTCGGAACTAAAAGATATTTCAACAACTTAAATATTTGTTAAATTAAAAAAACTGCACAGAATCAAAATGCTAGTGGTATTCTTACGAACAGTATGTGCAAGCGTAAAAGTAATTACTGCATGATACTAATAAATATCGTTGCAAAAAAAATTTGGATATGAATACGAAAGTAAATGTCACAATGAAAAAAAAAGTACAATAATACAGTATAGAATTATAGGTTAGTGAATTTATTTGTTACCGTATTATAAATTTTAAATTATCGATTTTAATAATTTAACCTAATAAGATAATTTATTTGATGCATCTCAAAATCAATTTCGATCTGATTTGACGTAATTCAATTTCAATTCACGCCCGCCCATTCGAATTTCATGTACAACATATATATATATATATAAATTAAATAAATAAAAATAAATAAAAAATAAATAAAATATCGATATAAAATAAAATTGATATTTGATGTAGATAATATAATAAAATGTTAAATACTGTAGATTTATAAAGAAAAAATGCGTCAAGCCAAAAAGTGGTTCTTTACTTTAATTCGTTTATAGCTTTTTTTCCTAAATGTAAACATTTAAGGCTCTAAGTTCTTTTATTTTGCGAAAGTTTCGTACATTGTTTCATACTTGGTTAATTGGCGTTTTATTTTTCTTGGTCTAGATTTTTTATTTTATCATCTAATGATTATATTTAGAAAATATAATTTGAAATTATTTCAAGTTTGTTTTACAATTCGTATAAAGTTAGTAATTGTTGATTCGCAATCTTTGGTTACAAAGGCTTTTCTTTTTTAGAAAAAAGAATAGAAAATTAAAAAATAAATTTAAAAAGCAGTCTAAAATTTGAACGCTTTCCTGAGGTTTATAAGTCATAAAATCATGTGAATGCGTTCTTGATGATTGGTGACGTTTGATTTTCGACAACTAGTACATAACTGGTAGTTTTACTGACGGTTTAAAGATGTCACTCAAACAAATCTCAAACAAGTTCCGCTTTCAAATTTATCTAAATTGCAACATTGCCACCAACTCGTGATATCACGAAAGATATCAACAAAATTTTTGGCACGAAACGAGATATCAACTGATATCACGTTCTATTTGTGACACAAAAAAAAGGAGTAAAGGCGGGCTATGCGCAATTTTCCAAACGGTAATCGTAATTTAAAACCGAACGTCATAACACTTTTAGAATATAAAATTGAAAATTATGGTGGCTTTTTGTGTACATTACACATAACACACACTCTTGTGTTATAGTTAGAAAGTGACTCATTTTTATACAGAACCTTAATCATTTGAAATTTATAATTAAGATAAGAGATGCATTAATATTTATAAAATATTTGTACATAAAATTTGCCAGTACTTTTTGATACGGAGTTCTTGAATATCTTTTTCTCCGCTATAAAAATAATATCATATTGTTTATAAATCTTAATCAACCGTACCCTCTTATCAATCAACCACGTCATGCTACTACACTTATTACGGCGCGTTAGCAACCAATTTGTCACCAAATCCAATCATTTGGTCCCCAAATATTAAACCCCGAAAAAATTTTCGGACCCCTGATCTGTACCGATAATGAGTCTAACCCATCTTCTCACCCCGACGTATCTCATTGGACATAGGAATTTATTAAAATGATGCATCGTAACTTGGGAAATGTTGATTTCGCAATTTTGGGGTATTTCGCAATGCACCGTAATAGATATTACTTATGTTAATGTAAAACTTTACTATGGCAACTTTTTTAAGTTATTAATTTGTATTTATTTTATTGTTTTTTTTAGGATAGATTTATAAACAATATAAGGGTATGAACAAACAGCGAAAATTCGAAAATTTTAAATTCTCAAGTGATAAATTGTAGCGAATATAATGTCATAACTTAGTTACGATATTATAAAAATATTACATCAACAAAACCGACTTTAATACAGTAATATAAACTGTAATTAGTGATGATAGTGTTCTATAATAGTGATCCGAATTTATATACAGAATTAAGAATTACAGATAAACATTTAGTTATAGAAAATTTATTTTACTGTTGATAATAAACTTTAATAAATGTTATATTTTTAAGAACAATGTAAACAATTGTATTATCAAGGAACTTTGCTGCGTTATCTTAGAGCTATATAAAAATGAGGTCAAATCTTTCTTGAAATCAATCAAGAAAAAATTTTCTAACATGCCTTCTGATAAATTCAACTCGCGTTCAAGATTCAACAAAAGTACCAGACGTAATAGACGTTTCGTACGTACTTCTCAATCGGTTGCACGCGTGAACACATTACCAGTAAGACCACCATCACCGCCAACCGCGGAAGAACAAATGTTACATGAAGGGTTTCCCTTTAAATCGTGTCAAGCGTCTCATGATTCAGTTGAAATGTGTATGTACGGAGGAATATGGCCAAATTATTCTTAGTCTTTTTACAAAATATAGATTTTTTTTTTTTTTTTTTTTTAGAAATTTATGCTGATTACATCGTAAGAAATATAGATATTAAATAATTTTTATGTATAAGAATTTTAAGATTTATTAATTTATATATACAACTCTCTTCAATTCACTCTTTTTTTATTACATCACGCTCATCATTATATATATGCAATGTTGTACATGAAACGGTTGGAACAAAATTAGGACAATTTTGAAACAAAAGTTTTTTTTAAGATTTTAAAACGATGTCAATAACCTTCTTTCAGCTCTTAAGTAAAAATATTTAAAATTTAATTTATGTATGTTTTACGTATTATGTTTTGATATAGCTCTAAAAATTGAGGACAGACAGGACAGGATACAGAATAAGGCCAAAAAAATTTGGGACTAAAGATGCTGGTGAAATTAATTTAATCTTTATTCGGGATAGTCAAAATGCACAACATTGCTTATATGTTTTCAAGTTGATGCTCTTAGAAAAATTGACCACTTTCGTATTTTACGTTTTACCATAATATATCTTTTTTTAAAATAGTTCTTAAAACCAAAAAAAAAACAGATGTTAGAACGCACATATTGTAAATAAAGATATATGTATATAATAATAATATAAAAAGTTGCTATATTATTAACTACAATAATGTTAAGTTAATATTTATAAAATAGATTAGTCTTGCTATTGACTTTGTTTATTGCCTTTTAATTGGTCTCGCGTTAATATCCTTATCTATTTATTCATCTATTATAATGATGTCAATTATGTACATTTGTATGGATTACCACAGAACTTATTAGGCTTATCGTTGTATACTAATACGTACTGACAAATATTTTGACAATATTTTTTTGTTGAATTTAAAATTCATTAATAAGAGTGTATGTTATTCCTATCTACAACAGTTTTTACAATTTCTTATTATTATCACAAAACGGAAATAATAATAAAAATATCTAATATAGTGATAGTTGTTAAAATTTAATCTCCACCACATTGGAAATAAATTTTCTTCGTCAAAATAGTCATGAAATTTTAAGATGATATACTCTAATTGGATAAAAGAAAAATGGTTTCAGGTTACCTTTCCAAATTCATTTCACTGAAATACTATTTCACCGAAGCTATCGTATAGACAGTTTATTTTACTAAATATCATTTAACTGATAACCAACTTTCCCGATAAATCATTTATCTGCAATTACTATGTCATAGAGATGTGATCCGTAAACTATTAGTTAATATAAATAAACTGTAGTTTATTGTAAAACTGTAGTTTTAAAATAAATTACAGTTTATTTATATGTATTGTAATTTACGGATCACATCTCTACTATGTCATTTTCCGATTGATACATTTTTCTGACATCTATTTCTTCGAAAATAAATTCCTGTATGGGAAATAAGACTGGGAAAAAGCCTTCTCGGTAAAAAAAAAGAAAGATTATTATTATACTTCATGTCAAAAAATTAGGTTGTTGGGAAAAAAGAATTTCGGAATTGAGTTCGGAGAAATAGTATTTCGAGAAGTTGGATTTCAGGAAGTCGAGAAATATTAAGGAAGGTAACTAGGTCTTAGGCCCGGGCGTTGCTCTAGGTTTAAATTTTGTTATCAAAATTTTAGGTTTAAGTGTTGCCTTAGGTTCAAATAAACCCAACTTAGATTTATTTAAATTTAAATTAGATTTAAATAAACATGATCCAAGTTCACTTAAACCCAAATTTGATTTAAATAAACCTGACTGGGTTCATTTGAACACAGACTAGGTTTTAAAAAACCTAATCTGAATTTATTTAAACTTAGATTATGTTTAAATTATTCTAATCTAAGTTAATTTGAATTCAAGTAAATCTAATCTGGGTTTACTTAAACTCAAATTAAGTTTAAATAAATCTAAATTGGGTTTATTTAAATTTAAATTGGTTTAAGTAAACCTAAATTGGTTTAAATAAACCCAAATTTAGTTTAAATAAACCTGAATTAGGTTTAAATAAAGTTAAAATAAACTTAGATTAGGTTTAAATAAATCTGAATTAGATTTAAATAAGCCTAAATTGAGTTTATTTAAATTTAAATTAGGATTAAATAAATTCAAATTAGTTATTTTAAATTTAAATTAAGTTCAAATAATTTCAAATAAAGTTTTCAATTAAATTTAAATAAATTTAAATTAAATTTAATTTAGGTTTAAATAAATTTGAATTAGATTTAAATAAACTTAAATTAGATTTATTTAAGCTTAATTTAGATTTAAATAAATATAAATTAAGTTTACTTAAATATAAATTAAATTTATTTAAATTAAATTTATTTAAACCAAATTAAGTTTACTTAAATTTGAATTAAGTATAAATAAATTTAAATATAGGAATTAGATTCTGTAATTTACAAAAACATATAAATATACATATAGTCCTATGACTAAGTTTATGTGAATAGAAGATTAGTATATAACAAAGTTCTCAAAAAGAGTTTCCTAATATGGAAAGTTGTTGCTTGATATGAAAGAAGCAGTGAATATACCAGAAATAGAAAGAAATTATACTAGTAGATAATATGATGAATATAAAAAAAAGCTATAAGAAAGAAATAAATTTACTAAAATTCAAACATTTTTAATACTAATACTAGTTTTAGTAAATATGAAATATACTAAAATTAGATAAAATCTAAAAGGTAATCTTAGTACCATATTTAGTAAATCTGTGTCAAAAATAAATTTAAAAAATTATAAATATTTAGTAATATCTAATAAGATAATACTTAGATATAAATAGTAATTAAATAGTTCTAATTTGATATATTACTATAATAATAATATAAATATTGTATATATATATATGCAAATAGTGTTGAAAATCAGAAAGTTTAAATAAATAATTTAGAAATAAGTCTCAATAATACATCTAGTAGATAACCTATAGACAAAACTCTTAATTAGATAATAACTAAAGTTATATATATACCTAGTCATATATTCATTAATAGACTATGTATATAAACATATAATTATATACAGTATTACTTAATAAAAGATATACAAACAAGATTGTTACTTCAAACTAAAAAAAAATAAATTTAAATATATAGATTTACTTAAATTAAAATTTGATTTAAATATATTTAAATAAGTTTAAATTAAAATTCTTTTTGCTAATCTGCAATATTAAAATTAACATTAAACAAAATATAAACAAATTTTAAATTTAAGCTAAAAAATAGCAACTTTATTTCTAAAAACAAAAACCTAGCATTCAAAAAGATATATACTAAATAGAACTAAATTTCTATTAAACTTGAACATATAGTTCTTTTTACAGTTTTTAAAAAAATTTTGACAAATTTTTATACAAATTGTAGAAAATTGTCTTGCTTTTAAAAAATAGAAACACACAACATATAACTAGTAAATAACAATAAACAAATAAATAATCATATTCTATTTTAGAAAAAACAATATCTACATAATAACAACAAATAAATAAGTTATGTATAAAATCAAATAAGAAATTAGACTTTTAATAAGTAATTAAATAAATAAAAGTTAGTTAAAATAGATACAACAAATAAAATAGAAAAGTTATACAAACAAGAAATATTATGTTGTATTAGCAGATTAGATGTCAGAAATTTAAAATTTATAAATAATAAGATATTAATTAAAAAATTAAGAACAATAATATCTTACATTCCAGATAATAGTGAATATATAGTTAAAAATCTAACAATAATAAATTCCAACAAAATTACAACAATAGATTTACTATCTATAACTAAATACTAAGTCTATTAAGACAAAAAAAGAATAGAAAAAACTCTTTCCTGTTCAGCACTGTTTTGAACAGGATTTTTATCGTCGACAAAATAACAACTAACAAAGAAAG